CGGGCTGCGTCACCTGAACGAATCTTCAAGGCGTCCTAGATTGGGGATTTCTCGCCTGATATGTGGCCCAGAAGGCTCCAATCTGGTTATGTTGAAACTAGAGAAGTAAGTACCCAGCCAGCAATGATGTTTCCATTTATCTTTTACAATATATTAACTATCAACATGCTACTTGCTCAGTTTGGGTCTCCAGAAAATTTCTGTTCTGTCTTTCTGTCTGAGGCCTCACTTGCCTTAGATAAAGTCAGTAACTTTGGCTCTCTATTAGAAAATCCTGAAAGAGAATACCCAGCCAGTAGTTTGACCTGTGCAATGGGATAAGAACCGCGTCAGCAATTTCACCTTTGAAATCTTAAATGTGGCTGGATTATAACAATCCTGCAAAAAGGAGTTGGCCAAAATTCCTCTACTGGAATGTAAAACACTCCATTTCCATTTATCATTCATCCATGATAGCATTTGTTGTTGCCTAACAGTTTCTAGGTTTAGGGGGCAATTACATTTTCACATAAAGCCAGGTTGATTTGAAGAGGGGTTTTTTTTCCCCCTTAATAAATGAAACCATTGTTTGGGTGTTGTTTTTGGAAATTATCCTGGATATTATTTCACAGAAATGTACATCTTGATCTTCAGATTGCTTGGTTGTAAAATTGCCATCATGTTTGTTTCAGTCCTGCCCCGGTGTCCGAAGGTGCGTCGACGATTCACCTCCCGGTAAAAGAGTGTCACATCGCCGAAGGCACCAACTGCACCATGTACGGATGGGGGGAAACAAAAAGTACTGCCTTCCTTCGCCTTAACTCCATCACCCTTTCGATGTTTGAGGCTGTTGAAGCTCAACTATTTACACCTTACAGTATTTGTTAAATCGCCGACTGTAGATCGCTCTCTGTTCAGGTACAGGCCTTGACGAAGCTCTGAACTCCGTGACGATGCCCATGGTCGACAATGAAAAGTGCCCGCACACCAAAGGGGATGCAGAGAAGAGCAGAATATGCGCTGGAGGCAACAAAGACGAAGGCGTATGCGAAGTGAGTGTCAACACTGTGTCTGCTTTGTGTGACTGAAACAGTGTTCTTGTTTTAAATGTTTACGATTTTTTGCAATGGGTTTTATAGAGATGTTACGTGAAGTCAGAGTTTAGCCCATTTTAGGCTGGATTTAGTTGCAGAAGAGAGGCTCGTTGTCAGCAGCTGTCGACTCACTGCTTGCGTCTGCGTCATTTCGTTTCAGAGAGACGACGGCGGCCCGCTGGTTTGCCAGGAGCATCATCGAAAGGTTATCGTCGGTGTGAGCACCCCGCGGGCAAAATGTGCCTCTGCGCAGCCTGCCCTGTTTGTTAATGTTGCGTTCTATTCGGAGTGGATCTACAAAGTGTTCAGACTTTACCCCAGTTTGCCGAGGAACTGACGGGTCGGAGTGGGAAGAGTCCTGCTGTGGACTGCTACACGAGGCTGCCGATGAAGAGGCAATCGGGACCAGAAAGCGTTGCAAGTCCTGAACCAAGCAATGAGGGAAAACGACCTTTGGGAAAGTCGCCACTCAGGAGATCAGATTTAAAAGATGGAATGTCTCCACCTTAAAATTCCAGGCGACCTACGCTTGTTTTTGCGACTATTGTCTTTGGCACATAGGTGGCAAGCGTTCTTGTTGCGACATGTTCAGAATTTCTGAAATCATGCAAATAAGGCAACACAGAAGATGCTTTTGAGTCAGATGGTGAGCTTATGTCCTGGAATGTACTTGAACCTGGTGACTTTGGTGGCTACCAGTTAAGGTAGCTCCTCTTCGACTGGGATTTCTGTGTTTCTTTCAATTTGTTTAGCTGGGCTACAAATTGTGCTTTTTTACTTAAAAAAAGAAAAAAAAATGTACGGGAAAGATGAAACAACGCTGAGGGCCAAAAGTGCCACAATCCAGCAATTAGATAATCATATATGTGTAAGTTTAAGTTAAACTATGAGAAATATATGAAACAAAATGATTTATCTCTCTCTCTTTATCTTCAAATAAATAGATGATCAATTAAATCAATGTGGAAGAATATTATAAATACATAAATCTAGTTTTATTGTTTCATAAAATATGTCATTAATTTGGATAATTTGAATTAATCATATACTAGAAATATAAATGTAACTATTTCAGCATTTATTTAATGATTTGATTTGATTTATTTTTTTATTTTTATTTTTTTACCCGTCAAAGTCGGTTAGCAGTGTTATAGCGAACGTGATTGGTCTGCAGTTAGCCAATCCGAACGCAGGGTCCATGGCAACGAGCCGTAGCAACATAATTGCATGACAGATGTGTTTTTTTTATGCATGTGTGTTTATTTCTAAACACACATGCATAAATATTTATCTGTCAAATTATTTATTTTTTTATTGTGGCACTTTTGGCCTCCGGTCCAGTGTACAAATGGACTCATCCGCTCTGGTTGTCGGGTCCTTTGCATATATCGCAGCTGTTAGTTGTTTCAGTGTTAAAAGCATCAGGCAGACAACTGTGGAAAACGGCTAAAAGAATGAAAACGTAAGCATGAAAATGTCATTAGAAAATTCCTCGCAGACTCCCTGTGAGAAAACAAGTAAGTCAGATGGTTTATGAAGCCAAAACTGTCCGACTGTACGTCCAGCAGAGTTAGAAAAATTGGACTTTGGATACATAAATTGTTAATATGAGCACATCGAATGCACAACAGCGGCAACCGTGGCCAACCTGGCAGTTTTAATTGTGTGCAGTAGCTGAACTACCTTTTCCCCAGTTAACTGTAACTGTTGGTTCCCCCCCAAAGAGAGAGAGAGAGGCTAAGTAGGACTGAGCAAACTGCTCCAGATCTTATGCTAATATTTGTAGCATGAGAGAGAGAGAAGAGCCATGCCAAATACAACATGGCTGTTTGGTATCCAGTTCGGAGGGAGCTGTGGCCCCTGGTGGGCTGTGTGTGGTCAGTAGAATATTTTTTCTTCTTTTATATAAAAAGTGACTGTGTGTGTACAGACCTGCAGATTTATGTTTTTGTTTTGTTTTTTCCTGACATTGTGTAAATTTTTATAGGTCTTATAGACCTGGATTATTGTCGGTTCATTTAGCATCATCGGATAGGCTTCTTTGAACTTCTGATTGTGTGGAGTATTTAAAAACAAAAACCAAAACCTAGTAGGATGTAGTAATTTATATTTATTTTTTTAACTGAGAGGACGAAAACGGTCATAATTGGGCTCATAATTTGATGGTATGCTTACTTTGTGGGTTATATTACAAACATGGTATCAAAGGAGTTGGTGAGATGTGAAGAAAGCAAATGTACGGTTCTCTTAGGTTCCAAAAAAACAAGACAGAGATGGCTCATCAGCTGCCGAAATGTGGCTGAAAAAAAAATGTTTGAGATTTTTCTCTACTATGCAAAAGCATGTGGTTTCCGTGAGTTCCAGCTTTCGACCTTGATCCGACAAACCAAAGAGCCACTTTCCATCTCATTTCAGCTCCTTACCAATGAGCTAAACTTCTAAAACAGACAAGAACATTTCAGGACCTTCCTTTCTTGTTTTCTTCCCTCGTTTTCTATTGTAACTTTTGTGGTTCTTTTCTGATTACTATGCAGAAACAGACTTTTGTCGGTGAGGTTTATGTCTGTGCCGTTTTGTTATTCAAAGGAGACGTTGCAAATCTCCTGCCTTCAAGAGTCTAAATCTGTTCTTATGAATATATGTAACCGGCGACAATATTACAACGTAACTGCAAATCCAAACTACTCGTGAACATTTTACAAGTGAAATCCAGAAAATGTGTATCTCAGCTGACAGGTGAAACCAAATGCCAAATGTTTTTTTTTTTTTCCATGGGAGTTTTGTTTTGACTGTGTCCTGAATGTGTTGCAACTGTTATTTAATTCAGCCTAACGTAATGTAAATATGTAGATATGAGTTGTATATTTTGTGAACAGCACACTTATAAAATACAGCTGCTATTTCTTTTGTATCATTTTTTTTTTTCAGATTTTTGTATCCTTTTATATTCATATTTCTAATAAACAGCTTTACAGCGACCCGTTTCTCTTCCCCTGCATGTTTTCCTCCGTACAATTCCATTCATTCTGCTTTTGACGGTCGTGACTTTCTCCCGCTGAGAGAAGCGAACTCCTTGTGTATGATGAATATTCTTGAGTGGCTGCAGCAGCAGGGGTTATTCATACAACTAGTCGAGGAGATAAATTATCACGTCCTCAGAAACGTTGGGATAACAAATGCGGAGATCGCTGGCTTAAGTGCTGTGGAGTTCACTCTGGATGAGCTTTTCAGCCAACTTTGGGGTTGCTCAACATGAGATAAGAAATGCGTTGTGCTCCAGATTTAAGCTCAATATTTGTGCCAAATCATCAGTGGAGGATTTCAAACGGTACTCTAGGGATTTCTTGCACGAAAGACAGAGGACAGGTACTGAGATTCTGTCACGCTAAACATTGATTTAAAAAAAAAAAAAAGAAAGAAAATAATCTGTCGTGAGGTTTTGTGTATCCTGTTTACACACTGCACTCTTTGGTCAGCACTTGTAAAAAGTAGCAGCTCTATTTTTCATGCATTTGATAGATGTAACTACTCCAGAAATTATTAATGTGTTATCTTAAAATGAATCTGTTCCACTTGCATTATGAAATAAAGAGTTTAAGAGGATGCGACTGGGAATGTCCTGTTTGTAATGGACTCAGTCCATAGTTTAGATGCTCTCCAGTTTCAAGATGTCTTTTTTTTTCTGCAGCCTAGCCTGTTGACAGAAAAAAATTATTAAATACATGTTGTGAGTTGCTAATAAATGTCTCTGAAATTTGCCATCGTTTCCCACACTTTGCTATTTTCTTTTGCTATTCTCATTATAAGAGCTGATTTAAAAAAAAAAAAAAGTACTACTAGGTCAGTGCTTTGTGTTTACCAGTGTCTCTTTTGTTTGCGAGTAATGGGGGTACTGCTAATGAACAGCTAAAATAGTGTACTTTAACATGGTTGTATTGCCCCATTGTCCCACAAGAGGGCAGTGTAGTGCCAGGAGCAACGAGTGTGGTTACCTTGTCTACTGGCAGAAAAAGAATTTGATTAGCTTTGGCCATACACCTGTTTCGTTTTTTGCTTCATTCAGTGTATCTGTTCAGTGTTCGATAACCACAGGGATGTTGTTGGTAATGTATATTGTTTTTTTTCCCCTATACATTTCTGAATGTGAATTTATTTGTTTGAAGTTGTTTATTTATGCATTGTTGCATTTGTTTTCCCTCTACATTTTTTTTTTGGTAACTAACAAAGTAAAAAAAATAAAAAAAATGCACACACTTTCAGTGCGTAAAGTCTACCAAAGCAAGTAAAAAGACCAAACAGGAGAAGGAATCCTGACTCAGAATTGGTTCATTACCTGTCTGTCTTACAGATTCTGGTCAATAATTGTGTGTGTTTTTGTTTTACCATAAACCAGTGGTGCGTGAGAGCTACTGTCCTGCGTCTTTTAGATACATCCTTTCTCCAACACACCTGATGAAAATGAATGTGTCCTTACCAGGCCTCTCCAGAGCTGAATAACTGGTTTGGTAAGCTGTTTTAGTTAGCTGTGCTGAAGAACAATGCGTGTGAAAGTTGCACGATCGCGGCTCCTGGGGTCTCGAGGAACCCTTTCCTGACTCGAAGCTTCCGCCTTACCGGTTTGTCCAGTTGTCATGGATAGACATTAACAACTTCTTCTTCTTCTTCTTCTTCTTCTTCTTC